GAGGTAAAGTAAGTGTGTTTTGACTGCTAAAACAGCCTTAATATTTAATATTTAACTTAGGTTACAATTCCAATTTGAACATAATTATTATCTAAATACTACTTTTATCGTATTGTAATTATCCATACGCTAAATAAAAATAAATAATCCAAAAACTTGACATGTCTTTGTAAATTGTTTGTCAATTATGTTAGTAATTAAAAATTAATATTTGGTCACATCAAAATAATAACAGAAAATCACAACCTAAGATATTCATTATTAAAAAAGTCGGTGTCGTAGACCGACGTTACCAACTATGTTACAAGAATTCACCTTGCTGGCGGAAGGTTAATCGTCACTGTTATTTTCATTTGTTTTGTTCTTCTCTATAGTTCTGAGTTTGTTATTTTAGTAGGCTTAGGATTTTTCTTCCTGTTTCCAAGATTTTGAGCCATACAATATACTCTTAATGAAACTGTTAAATATTTTGATTTTGGTTCATTCTGAAATATCGCATGTGTTTTAGATTTTCTTTAAGGAGTTACTTGCATGTTGTGCAATAACTATGTTATTTTTACATATAATCTACTACCGGTTATCTTTTTTCTTTGATTGGCCCCAGATTTGTAAAGTTATTTACTTTACATATCCTCTATTTTCTTCCAGTTATTTAAATTTTAATATCTTGGCTGTTTCTTTTTAGGAGTTTCGATTTTTTCTGTATTTACTGTTTTATATCTGTTTTATTATAGGTTACTTTCTCCATAGTCCAATCCGATATAATTTGGAATAGCATCAAAGACAGTATGCATTTTTGTTTAACACGGCTTTGTATAGCTATATCTTCTACCATTTCTCTTGTATGTTCCAATCTGGCTTTTTTTCCGATGGTCTGCTACCTGTTTGTTCTAAAATGTATTGCTCTTTTGGTATTCACTTCACTATCTATTCGGTGTAATCAACTACTCTGTCATATTCTTCTCTGTCTTCCCCATCTATCCTGTATTTTACAGAGATATCTTATTTCGATATTTGGTATTATGTCTTTTATTGTTTTTGATCTGAATGCTCTGATTACTGATGTTCTAAGTATTCTTTTTATTGGTAAATCATCTGCTCTCGTTTCTAACACATATTATTTGCCCAGTGCTAGTTTGTAATTTGACCCATCTTTGGTGATGTTAGAACTCTTACGTTGAGAATTTGTTTTCGTATTATTTCTGTATTTGTTATTACGTAGTCTATCGTTTATTGTGACCTTGTGTGTTTTACCAAGTGTATTTATGTTATATAGACGAAAATACAAATCCCATCCCCATTAAGAGAGGAGTGAGACAAGGAGACGTAATATCGCTAAAGCTTTTTAACCTAGCCCTAGAAGACGTCTTCAAAACTACAAATTGGTCAACCTATGGCATTACCGTTAATGGCAACCAGTTAAACCACCTTAGATTCGCTGACGACATAGTGATTATAGCGAGCACATTCGAGCAACTGCAAATTATGTTGGGGGAACTAGCAGCCAGCTCTCAATACGTCGGCCTAAAAATGAATATGAAAAAAATAAAAATATTGACAAACACAGAAGACCCCAGACATATAACTATAAACGGCAGTGAGATAGAACAAATGCAGAAATATATCTACCTAGGCCAAATCCTGAGACTTGGATTGTGCGGAAATTACTAGAAGAGCAAAACTAGCATGGGCAGGATTTGGAAAACTTAGTTGGATACTTAAAAACCGCAAAATACCCAATACTTGAGGAGCAAAGTGTTCAACCAATGCATCCTTCCTATCATGACATATGGATGTCAAACTTGGACCCTAACCAAGGCAAACATAAATAAACTAGCCACAACAGAACGAACAATGGAAAAAGCAATGTTAGGTATACGACTGTCAGATAAAAAGAGGAACGGCTGGGTAAGATCCAAAACAAAAGTCGAGGACATAACAATAAAAATTGCAAAACTTAAATGGAGCTTCGCGGGCCACACTGCTAGACAGAAAGACCAACGTTGGAATACTACAATACAACATTGGAGACCTTACGAAAGTAAACGACCAAGAGGAAGACCACAGATGAGATGGGTTGATGACATTAAAAGAATAGCCGGAACAAATTGGAAATATGTTGCTCAGGATAGAGACCGATGGAAGGAGTTGGGAGAGGCCTATCTCCAAACATGGACGACATAAGGCTAAGAAGAACATTTATGTTAGGGTTATGGGAAACCGTGTTGTCTATTCAAATTACCAAAAAAAAATTAAACAAAAAATGAAGAAAAGCTGAATTTCAGTAAAATCTGTACATTTAAATTTATTCAAGAGACTTTGAATGTTAAGAATTTAAAACTATTAATATTGGTAAGAGAGGTGTAAAAAGTGCACTAAACATGAGTGGAAGAGATTTAAACATTAAATATGCACCCATTCCATTAAATAAAAAAAATTTAATATTTCAACGCTTCTTCGGTATATAGATACCACCTTTTTACCAGAATTACTAAAGAGAGCTTGGTGTTGTTGAAAATATATATAATAAGACACATTTTTTGGATCACTTTAGCGATCTGGAGGATGACAATTAAATTGATTTAAAAACAATCCTAAGTATGGAATTTCAATTTATTGTGTTTTTCTCGTTTAATACTATGTATAAATTTTAATAGCATATAAAAATATCTTAATGTAAAGGGATAGGAATACCAATCCGTGACAACTTCTTGTACACATTAAGCTTTGCGGATGACCAAGAGGTAACGGCTCAAGATGAAGAAGATTTGTGCTATATGCTCCGAGAATTAGAAAAGGAATACACAAAAAATGGACTGAAAATAAACCTAGAAAAGACTGAATATTTAACAACAGAGCAAGAACCAGTGAGAAACTTGGAAATGGACGATGATAGGGAAATTAACGGCCCTGAAAAATTCAAATATTTAGGATTCATACTCTCAAAAAATGGAACCGCCGAGCAAGAGATAATCAGCAGATTAGCACAGACAAGAACATATATTAAACAAATGAACGGGGTACTGTGGGATAGACGGATTACCAGAAATACAAAGAAGAGAATTTATATAACACCTTGGTACGCAGTATAATGACCTATGGAACAGAGAATTGGATAATAAATAAAAGAAACAGGTCCAAAATCACAGCAACTGAAATGGAATTCATGAGAAGAAGCTGCAGAGTGACAAAGATAGATCGCATTAGAAATGAGGGGATAAAACGAAGAATGGCAGTAGAACAAGACATACTCAGCTACATCGAAGAAAAACATTTAATTTGGTATGGACATGTGAGACGAACAGATCATAGAAGGTGGATAGCAAAGAATTCGGATTGGAGCCCAATAAGAAGGAGGAAAAGAGGTAGACCCCAAAGATCATGGAGGGAGAAAGTGGATGAGGCCATGGAAAGACGAGACCTTAGAGATGGAGAATGGCAGAACAGAAAGGACTGAAGACGTTGGCTGAAAGAAGGAAGGCGGCGACAGCTGTAAAAATCCTTATATAGATAGATAGATAGATAGATAGATAAAATACCTTAATATTGTTTTCAAGCTATTTTCTTCTAGAATTTTAAAGTAATTACTATTTAAATTGGAATAAGCCACAATTAAAGGTAAAAGTACGTTTATTGACGTTTCAATTTCTACTTCGGAAATCGTTCTCAAAATACAAACATTAGTAAATTAGACATTGTTGTCCCTATATCTTCGTAAAAATTGAATTGAATTTTGACAATGTGCCAGTCTCTTGTAAAGAATTTCCAATCTCCGAAAATTTTGAATAACGCTGGGCCCATAAGGGTTTCTTAATATTGTTCTGAAACTATTTACGAATGTTTGTATTTTGAAAACGATTTCCGAAGTGGAAATTGAAACGTCAATAAACGTACTTTAACCTTTAATTGTGGCATATTCCCATTTAAATAGTAACTACATTAAAATACCTATTTTACTACTTGTTATACTAATTATTTTTTTGTAATAAAGGTGCAAGCCACATTTTTTAACTTGATTGTTGTTTTTTCCTACAAAAAGGACTTATTAAATAACCGTTTCAAGGTTAGTAGATGTACAGTTTTTAAATAGCACAATTTACGGAATTTCTTATCTATTTTTGGTATTTCACGATTTGATTAAAACTCTATACTAGTTGATTTTCTTAAAAACTTACTCTTGTGGCATGTACCGTTGTTGCTTTAAGGTCTTCACAATATGTTTCAAAAATGAATGGGACAAGGACACTGTATCTATGGTAAACAATAATGCCTTCAAAGTTCTATTTTTAGTGGCATTACGAAACACTTCTTCTTCTTGTGCCACTCGTAGCGGAGATTGGAAATCATCATGGTCACTGCGACTTTGTTAGCAGCGCGCCTAAAAAGTTCAATCGAACTACACTCGAACCATTCACGTAGATTACGAAGCCACGATATTTTTCTTCTTCCCACACTTCTTTTGCCCTTAATTTTGCCCTGCATGATGTTTCTTAAAAGTTCGTACTTTTCACCTCTCACAATGTGCCCCAAGTATTCCATCTTTCTAGTTTTTATCTCATTTAGAATTTCGCATCTTTTGTCTAAAGTTTGGAGTACTTGCGTGTTAGTGACGCGGTCCATCCATGATATTCTGAGAATGCGCCTATAGCACCACATCTCGAAAGCTTCGATGTTTTTTATGGTCAACTGTTTTAGTGTCCAAGCCTCAACTCCATATAACAGGGTAGAAAAGACATAACACCGCAGCATTCGTATTCGTAACTTTATATTGATATCACGATTGCAAAAGAGTTTGCCCATTCTATTAAAGACTGATCTAGCGATTTCTATTCTACATCTAATCTCTTTTGTTTGATCAGTATCGTCTGTGATCCAAGCACCTAGATATTTATAACAGGACTATACGATACGAAACACCGCATGACTATAAAATAGACAAATTGAGACAAAATCCAACAAATTCAAGCAAAAAATAAAACAATTAACTAATAACGATTTTTGTAAAATACTTTATTAAAAACAATAGCAACGTTCTACAAATATTTCTGTAAATATACAGTACATTAGATTAATATTTAATATCTGTAAATATACAGTACGCTAGATTATTACTTAATAAAATTTGTCATAGACACATACAAGATGATAAAAATACACATTTTTAACAAATAAATCTCCACAATTAAAAAATATTTATCGTACATATCGACAAAATTATTATGATTATGATTTAATACGTTCAAATCCTACATTAATACCTTTGTTTGGTATAATCCTAAATACACTCTTATCCAATTTGATCGGTATATCAGTTTTCTCAACAGGAACTATTTTAAAATATCTCAAAATATAGAAAAATAATATTTTCGTCTCAAGTAGCGCAAATCTGGAGCCGATGCAGTTCCTAGGCCCCAATCCAAATGGCATATAAGAATAAGGTTTAATATTAGCTTTGTTTTCTTCGCTGAATCTTTCAGGATCAAAAGTTTCTGGATCTGGAAACAGTTCGGGATCGTGATGGATGGAGTAGATGACCAGATGTACGATGTCACCTGGTTTTAGTTGAACTGGCTTTTCTTCAGGTAAAACTGGTTCGATAGTATATGGTTTGGTACATAGTCTGTCCACTGATGGCATGGCTGGCCATTTTCTTAGGCATTCTAAAAATATGTATTTAATTAGAAAAACTGCATTAATTAAGTAATAAGGCAATATTTTTGGATATTTTGACAAATACATAGATTTTTTAAACACATATTTTCGTGTTAAAAAAATCTATAGTATATATGTATAGGTACTATTTTTTTAACAAGAAATATTTACCTGACACTACCATATCCATATACTTCATGTTCACAAGAGCTTCGTATGTCAGTTTTCCATTACAATTTTCCATAGTTTCTTTAACTTCTTCTCTAAGGGTTTCTTGAATATCTGGATTGGCACATAGTTCATATCCTAAAAAGCTCATTAAGTTTGAACTGGAGTCGAAACCCGCAAAGAAGAAGACAAGAGCTTGGGCGACAATGTCGTCGTTTGTGATATCGGTTTGTATTTCAGCTGGAAATTGAAATAATTATTAGTAGGCTAAAAAATTTAAAACACTAGAAAATTATAGTTCTTGATGCGTTATTAATATAATTTTGTGAAGATTGTCCTTTGTCTTATGATTACTTATTCATTCTTTTTATATTTGTCCTAATACTCCGATTAAGTTGGTCCAAATTAAGGTTACAAAAATTCGAGTAGAGCTAAAAATTGGTACGAATGGTTTTAACACCATTATCCGTTTTCTTCTTTACATCTGTTTTCATATTATTATTTTTTTTTTTTTTGATTTCTCAATAGCAATACTTGCACCAGGAGCCTTAATAAATTGGTTGTTTAAGGTAGTGGCTCCAATTGCTGACTGTACCCCAATAAGCGACACCAGAATTTGTTATTTATGTACTAAAACAGTACAGTCTGTAGTATTGACGGTCTTTGCTTCCTTGGGTAATAGTTTGAATATGTTCGCATCAATGCGCCGATAAAATCAATTTTAAGGTTGGTGACATTTACTAGTTTTACAAGTGACGTAAGAGTGCACGTTTTGCCGAAATTACTAAGCAAAAACGCTAAGAAAATAGTTTATATATAAACTGGGTGTGTGACGTTGATGTGTATTTAAAGGGTAAGTCTTTTAGTGTAGATTCATTTAACAGTAATATAAATGTACGTATTTGTTGTTAAAATTATCTTATGTTAATAAAGTAAGTTTATATAGGGGGTATCAGTTACTGGTACAAGATCCGATCGAGTATCCAGTAAGTGACACTAATGTCAGCTATCGGGTTTCAGATGTTTTCATACTTTGAATGAATATTTAAGTAGGAAGCACGTAAGTATCCCTGTAAATGCAACCAAAATTTTATGTTGTACCTATAGCTGACACCCATGCCTGATATTGGTTACTGACATATGTCAGCTACTGGATCCAAATAATATTTGTTTAATAATTTAGAGTTTCTTTGTATTTCAGTTGACAATGATGAAGAAATATTCTAATGAGCATTACGTCAAGCCCTAGCAGATATTGACAACTGAAAACCTGTTGCCACAACAAGCAAAAAATATGGGATCTCAAGAATTCCATTAATATGTAAAAAAAGTGGTATATATCTTAAAGAATGCATAAAGGGGCCTGCTACAAATTTAACCCCTGATGAAGAAAATCTGTTGGTCAAATGGTTATTTTATATTTCTGATCGTGGTTTTCCAGCATCAAAGCTTCAGCTCATTGATTGTGTAGAATTAATTTTCAAACTTAACAAACGTAAAAATAAGTTCAAAAATGGAAGACCTATAATAGAGTCGCGCAAAACGTAACCACCGGGAGGTCATCTGTCAATGAAGAAAATTTACGCCGCTGGTTTAGGGATATTAAATCGTAGCCTGAGCAGAATAATTAATTACGACCTTTTTAATGATCTTAAACGAGTATTCAATGCTGATGAATCGGCTTTTTATACGAATCCTAAAGCAAGCCGATTTCTTACACGCAAGGGAGATTACACTGTCTACAGCCATCTACCAAATGAGGAGAAACAGTGCCTTACTGTTCTTATGACAGCAAACGCATTAGGAAACATTACCCTAGGTATGACGATGTTTGCTTATGAAAGGATTCCACCGGGTATATCTGCTTCTATACCAAAATGTTTTGCAATTGGTAAAAGTGAAAGTGGATGGATGACCAGACAGATCCTTGATCTGTGAAAAATGAAATTGAGTTTCCAAATAGATTTTTCGTTGATGGACATTCTAGTCACTTGACTTTGCCTCTTAGTGATTTCTGTACTGAAACTAAAATTATGCTTATTGCACCCTATTGCATTCTATTGCACTATAAACACTCGGACATGTGGAACGGAAATATACAACAATTAAATATTTTTCAAGTTTGGCTGAAGATTAAAAATTTAAAACAACTCAACACATTTGTCGTTTCCAAATTAAATGACCCTGAAATCTCAACAACAGAAGAAGACCGTTCAGATAACAAGGAGAACGGCATGGATAAATGCAATATGGATAAAGATCCACATCCACATTTTGATACGGATAACAATCTACCAGGTGGCGATGTTGCAGTTGTTGAACTCGATTTTAATGTTAACGATACAACTACTTTAGACAACTTACAATTGTATCTCCTTGAAAAACCTTAAAAAATTTCTACTCCATTTAAGGCATTGTTTTGGTCAGACAAACCACGTTCTAAAGAGTCGGTGAAAGGTTGCCTTCTGTTGCAACTTGCACTCATTGGAAACAATACCATTTAAAGAAAAAAAAATGGAAACAGAATTCAGAGAACAGGAAAAGCAAGAGCAAAAACGAAAACGAGACAAAAAGAGGATTCTGCTAGAAAAAAAAACAAAGCGGAATTACAAGGAAAATTCAGATTCTTAAACTGATCTGATGAGCAATTAAATTTGGAATCTGATAGTGGTGATGACATTGCAGCTATTTTTCCTAGATTCAACAAAGCTCATTTAAAAGAAGGTGATCATGTTCTTGTTATTTATGAAGATCAACACTACCCAGGAAAAATAAAAGAAGTAGAAGAAAATAAGGCGTTTGTTAGTGTTATGGTAAACAGCAACTTTAATTCGTGGAAATTGCCAAATAAAGAGGATGCATAAGAGGAGTGTGATCATACTGATATTGTGGAGAAGATTAACAAACTAGTAAGATTAAATAATCGTGAAATGTACAGAATTCCAGAAATAATAAAGTTTTCCTGTTTTAAAATGAAAAAGACAGCAAATATTGGATTTCACGCAAACAACTCCTATGTATCTGTTGATACGTATTGCGACCTAATAGGTCTCATCAGAACAGTTGTTACTCATAGGTGTTCTCAACGTGAAAAATCAATATTTTCTGTCTTTTAAGAAGCATCAATAAAATGGCTTCAATACGGACGCGATAGCGACATCTAATTATAAAATCCGTAAAATAGTTTCGAAACACAATTCAGATTTCTGCGTATAACTGAGGCTTCTAAAAATTGCAAGGCAAACAGACATTGATAAAAGATGTTAAAAGGCACATGGGGAATCTAAAATTTGCATTCCACGGCATGTCTTTTACAACTAAGCAGAAATCCTTAGCGAATTGTTCTTCTTTTACTCACACAGAGTATATCCGAAATAAAATGAAAAAGACAGCAAATATTTGATTTCACGCAAACAACTCCTATGTATCTGTTGATACGTATTTCGACCTAATTCCCCATGTCCCTTTTAACATCTTTTATCAACGTCTGTTTGCCTTTAAATTTTTAGAAGGCTCAGATTATAAGCAGAAAGCTGAATTGTGTTTCTAAACTATTTTACGGATTTTATAATTAGATGTCGCTATCGCGTCCGTATTGAAGCCATTTTATTGTGGCTTCTTAAAAGATAGCAAATATTGATTTTTCACGTTGAGAACACCTATGAATAACTGTTCTGATGAGACCTATTAGGTCGAAATACGTATCAACAGATACATAGGAGTTGTTTGCGTGAAATGAAATACTTGCTGTCTTTTTCATTTTATTTCGGATATACTCTGTGTGAGTATAAGAAGCACAATTCGCTAAGGATTTCTGCTTAGTTGTAAAAGACGTCGTGGAATGCAAATTTTAGATTCCCCATGTCCCTTTTAACATCTTTTATCAACGTGTGTTTGCCTTGCAATTTTTAGAAGGCTCAGATTATAAGCAGAAATCTGAATTGTGTTTCGAAACTTTTTTACGGATTTTCCTATTTTATTTAGATATTTGAATAAATAAGATATTTTTTTTATTTAAATACCTTTTTTGATATGTCAGGTATTGGTTATTTGTTTGGATTCGGCAAAATTTGCAATTTTGGGGGGTATTAGGGTTAAATTAAATCTCCTTTTACATGTACAATAAGTAATAAACTTAATCATACATTTTGCTTAAGAGAACAAAAAAATCTGAGTAAAATTAACGATTTAATATCAGAAAATGTATCTTTCTGGCCTTAGAGTGTCAGGTACTGGTTCCTCTACCTTTACTTTTAACAATTACTGGAACCATTGATTTATTCAGAAGAATTATATGATAGTTCAATATTTTTACAAATATACCTAAGCCTGTGATAGCCACTCTCGACAGGCAATTCTTCCTCACTTGACGACGACAACATGATTACTTGTAGCGCTAAAATTTAACTGATGTGGATATACTAACTACACAAAATATCAACGACGTTTACAAACTTGTTAAAACTTGTGTTGCAGATATAAATAACCTAATACAGGACAATTTAATAAGTAAATACTTACAAGCATAAGTTGACACTAAGATGTATATACTTAAATTTCAGAATGTTTTTCCAGTATTACTTTATCAGAGGAAATTTACTTTTATTCCAAGATAAATAAGTAACATATTTTCCTCATAAGTAATAGCTTTTGTTTAAAAGTTACTACTTCTAAGAGCTCTTGTTACCGACAACGGTCAACGGGTCGTTTTTAAAACCGCCCCGTTGACCGTTCCTCAGTCTCTTTCAGGTTCGTGTGAATGTTTGTTCACGCAACGGAAACTAATCCGTTGGTAAACTTTTCTACGTATCCAGTTCCCCTTGGAAAGACGTTCGTCGGGCCGGTCAGTGAACCATTTTAGTTTATGCAAGTGTGTTAACCCTTAACTGGTGAACATGGGTCTCACAGACTCCGCACGTTTATTAACGCGTCTGCGCTTCTAGCCACAAATACGTAGCAACCTGTAATTCGGTGTACCTTCCTAGCTTTTAGAGTATATTCGAACGTGTTAATGAGAGGTACCACGCTCGTCCCGTTTTCGAAATATTTACGTCGTGGAGTCTACTAGACGCAAGGTCACCATTAGTGTTATTTTAATATGGATAGTTCTCGTAAAGCTGTAAGCGTATTAGACGATGATTTCGAAGAAGTGTGCACAAAATGGTATAATCAGGCGAACAGTGACATTAGTGATGATGTGGAAGAAGGAAATTATATAGAAAGTGATCAGTTTACGAACAGTGAACAAGAACTAAGTGAAAATGAACAGCAACAATATTCAGAAATGATATCTAGCGAAGATGAAGAAGAGTGTGCCAATTCCAGCAATTATTACTATGGAAAGAATAGGCACAAGTGGAGTAAAAAGGAGCCAACTAGAAACGTCCGTACGCCTGCTCACAATATTGTTGTACTTCCATCAATCCGTTCAAAAGTAGAAAAGTCAACGAGTCCCGTTTATTATTTTAATAAATTGTTTTCACCAGATATGTATAGTCTTGTTGTTAAGAGAACTAACGAAAAACTCGCAACTTTTCGGCCAAAATATCAACAATATAAAAAATCTGAGTTGGCTGATACTGATGAAATAGAATTGAGAGCTTTCTTGGGACTGCTTCTTTATACTTTTATTTATAAATCAAATCATAAGGATATACGAAGTTTGTTTGCTACGAACGGGAAAGGATGGTCTATATTTAGAGCAGTTATGTCGCAGAAACGTTTCTGACCCTGATGGCCGCCTTAAGGTTTGACGATGCCTCGGACCGAGAACAAAGAGCAAAGGATAATTCAGCTGCTGCTATCCAAGAATTCTTTGACTTATTTGTACGCAATTCAAAAGATGCATATACGGTTGGGAAAAATATGTGTGTAGACGAAATGCTGGTAGGCTTCAGAGGCAGATTTCGCTTTAAAATGTATATTCCCAGCAAACCCTAAATATGGGATAAAAATATTATGTATGACTGATGCACGAACTGGGTATTTACATAATGCTTACATTTATGCTAGGAAAGGTTCAGATGGATTTAGCCTCACTAATGAAGAAAGAAGAATGAGCATACCTACTCAAGCAGTTATAAGATTAGTCAAACATCTTCACAATACTAATAGAAATGTAACTGGCGACAACTGGTTTAGTTCAGTTGATTTAGTACATCATCTACAACAACATAAACTCACTTACGTTGGCACAATGCGAAGAAATAAAAAAGAAATTCCTCCACAGTTCCTTCCGCGACCAAATCGTAATGAAGGCGACACTTTGTTTGGATTTAACAAAGACCTAACACTTTTATCCCGTACAACTAAGAAAAATAAAGCTGTGATATTAATTTCTTCCGTGCATCATTCCATAGAAGTAAATGCAGATAATGGACAACTAGAAAGAAATTCTTTTTACAACTTGACCAAAGGGGGTGTAGACGCGATGGATGAAAAGTGTGTAAAATATTCCTGTAGCCGCAGAACACGTAGATGGCCCATGGCTATTTTTTATAAAATAGTAGACATATGTGGAGTAAATTCATACATTATGTTTACTTCGATTCCCGAAAATAATTGGACTAGATTCAAATTTATAGAAACCCTGGCCGATGAACTCGTTTCCTCACATTTGCATAGAAGGTATGAAATGCCAACATTACAAAGGCAGCTGAAAGAACTGATCGGAAGTATCCTTGATATTCCCGAAAATAAGGCTAACGAAGAAGAAAAGCTTGAAATAAGAAAATATTGCTACATCTGTCCATCCAAATTAAGAAGAAAGACTGCATATTTATGCACAATTTGTCAAAAACCCATAGTTTGCAATGTTCTCGAAAAATTTGTATAAATTGTACCAGGGCAGAATAGATTTTTAACGTTTCTAGTGATTTGCAGGTTTTGTGCAGAATTGTAATTATGTTGTTTTTAAAAAATTTTTATGTAAAATTTTTTTTGGAATATGACTTTAAAAATTTTGTGTTATAAAACATGTTGCCATTTTTCTGTTTTTGTTATAAGTCCTACAGTTTGATTTTTTTCTTTTTCACTAAATAAAAATGACATTACAATATTGTTTTATTATTAAAAACTGTTTTGTTGCATTTTTGAGGTGCCAGTTTTGCAAAAACAGCTTTTTTTGGCCAGGAGTCTGTCAGACTCATGGTCACCATTTATGTAATTAAAAGTAGGGTCATCAGTTAAGGGTTAACGGCGCTGGACAAGCATCCGTTGTTTCAATAAATTTCTTTCTTTGTTGCCGCTAAAATATGGATTTTGATATGGAGATTTTAATAATTGTGGTAATTGAAGAATTTTGTTTCGTCTTTTTTCATTTCTTCGTAAAGTGTATGGAAAGCACCATACTTTTCTCTTGCTGGCAAAATAGGATGAATCCATATTTTTCTTTTACGCTTATCCCGTTTCTTCTGCATTTTTTTTTTATACAAATAATACGCTAGTATAATTTTTTGCTTTGACGACAAAATGATATAACATGTATTACGTGCACTTGTTATTTAAAACTGACGATATTTCGGAGATTCCTTACTGTAACGGACGCATATTCCTTGAAATTAAAAACCGTCGACACGGGACCCGTTACCCGTTGAAAAAAACCTTCGTTAACAAGAGCCCTAAGGTAACACTTATTTTTATTCAATAGACCAATTAACTTAATTTACCGTTTGTCTGGAAAATTAAAAAACTCAGGTTTGCGACATATGACCTTGAATCCCTTTTTTTACACATGTGGGATTGATATGGACTTTTCACATTAAATTTCATCTATAATGGTGTTCCAAATATTCGTATCAAAAACCTCTATGTGAATTTTTGTAACCTTGAATGTGCATCCTAAACGGACTATAAATCTGCTTGTGTGTTGGTTTTTATAACAACAATGTATTTTAATTCATATTATAATGACGAATATAGAATTTGTGGCACTTTTGTGCCACAATTTGTTAAAATATCTTAATTATTGTAATAATTCTTAAAGAAAAGTAATTATTCAATCAGAACTTACATTTAAGATGTTCTTCGACAGTGGCATATCCAGTATCAGCAGTAGTCTGGTGTTCATCCCCTTTAGAGCTTCCTTTTCTTGCCTCTAACAGTAAATGGATCATATCTGGCCTCACTAGTCCTTTTTCTTCTCTCATTTTAATAGAATCTTCAATAATTTTGGTAAAAAAATCCCCAATGCTTTCTTCGATGATTCTGATGTTGAATAGCTAAATATATTTATATATGAAATAAAATACAATATCGTTTCTGATTAAATTTTAAAAAATGACTAATATTTATTTTAACATATCATAACTTTCTGAAATAACAAAAAAATATATTCCGGAAAAGGAGAAAAAACAGCCTCTTAGAAAATCGATAGATGAAAACCGAGAGACAATTTAGATCTAGAAAAAAAAAAGATCTAGAAATATCATCGATCTAATTGGATTAATGAAAGGATTCAACCAACTTGATCAAGAACACAGGTGGGTCAACAGAATAGAGAATTTTAAAATTGAACAAAATTTAATGAAACGCTAAACTATTTTATAATTTTGTTTTAAAATTTAGATTATTGGTTTAGTTGTTATGATTCACTATCAGATTCTTCAGAGGCATCTGTCTATGGAAGGGCATCTCGTACACTGTCCTCAGAGCGAAGATTTGTGTAGAAATTATAGTAAACAGGTGGTATTTGAAGATTTTTATAAAGCTTTTGAAGGTCTTTTAGTTTTTTGGTAGCAATTGGGAACCTGTTATTTACAAATGGTATGTCATCTGGGTAATCCATCCTCACGAATACAGCCTCTAGATGAGTTAACAGGTACTTAAATTAAATGGCTTTTTTGAAGGATAAGCGGTTATATTTTTTATTGCCACTGTCAGGGTCCTCAAAAGCAATCTTATCAGTACAGAAATCAATAAAGTCATCATGGTACAAAGGCGTTACTTGAAATAGTGTTAGCTTACTTTTAGCAGTGCGAATTATTTGGCACCAGCCCTTCCTGCGATCAATTTGTTTGACAGAGGAATGCTCCTTAACAATATTCATACACATGTTAATAAATTTGAAATTTTTTGCTACTCTCCGCAGCTGTCCGACATCATTCTGAAAAATTATGTATTGGTTTGGCCAATCAAGTAAGTATAAATGCAAATCGATATCTCTATACTGCCCCGGTTTTCCTTCAGTTTCGTCCCAGACACAACAGTAACACTGGCATCTTTAAGATTGTAAATAGTAAAGTTGTATACAGCTAACTTTCTGACGTAGAATTCTCCACCAATCTATGGAAAACAATGAGAAAAATGCACGTTAGAGAGAAATGGTAAATATAACATAAAGACTATTTAAAAAACAGGGGTGCAAATAAAGTTAGGCAATGATAAGCTGGGATGGTACTTGTATGAAAGATATAGAAATAAAAATAGCACGAGAAAAACCAGCCATAAAAGTACTCCATTCAATGATATGGAATAACGCTTTAACCAGAAAACAAAAAAAAAGATCTTTCAGAGCACATGAATGAATATTACCCTATATGAGCGAAAGTATGGTCAATGATTAAAACAATACGAAATAAAATAAGAACCGTTGAACTGGACTTTATAAGAAGATGTCCAGACCGTATAGAATAAGGTAGACCTGCTAAAAAATGAAAAACATCCATAGGAAATGCTATGATATATAGAGACCTCAGAGAAGATGACTGGGAAACTAGAGTGCTGTGAACGAAAACAGCGAACTCATAGTGGGAAAAGCCGAAGAAGAAGTAGAAGAAAAATGGTGCTGACAATAAGCAACAATACACCTCGAGTAAAAGGGTGGTAAATCACTTAATCATATTAAACCTAAGCTAACTTAACCCCATTCTTACCTTGGCGACATTTGGTAGAAATATGCTAAAAATAAATCTAAATAACGCTTTAATGCTACCAAATGCAGTTAAACTCTTTCCGTTGATGTAGAATTCGTTGTTCGGCTTGGCCAATGAATCAACTTCGACTCCAAAGGCCGTGGAAGCTATCACATCGTTACTATACCGCGTAGATACTTCTTTCATTTCCACTGGGACTACATCTTTGTTTTGACTGAGGTAAAAGTTGACAAACCTCTCAGCGTTAGCTTTTATTAAATGAAACATTCCTTTCATCTTGCTGCTGGTGAAAGAGGGACTAAGTGTTGATCTCATGTTTCTCCATCTGTTCCCTACAAAAAATATAGTTAACATAAAATGCTTGATGTTATGTTATTATTGTCACTTTGTGTTTAATGTCACTATTAAAAAAATAACTATCTTTTGATTGTTATAAGGATACAAAGAATTAAATATTTTATTTATTTATGTTTTTTGTTTTATCTTCCTTCCGAGATTACTGTTCACCTTCCCGAGAAATATGGAAAAAAAATTTAGAATACTAAAAACTTTTGGTGATTTATATATAATTTGTCAGAAAAATTCTGCAGCACTGACTACCCAAAATAAAAGAAGTAAAAGTACTCACCTGTTAAAGCAAACAGATTTTTTGCCCACATGGGATCGACATCTTCCCTAGCAAAAATACGATGTTCGTTAAAATAATCAAAGTCCTTTATCACCATTTGCTTGATCAAATCTACATCTGTGATTATCAGACTAGGAACATTAAATTGATAGAGACCATAAAACCTGGTTTTAGGAAAACCCTTGTAGAGTCTGATTATATGTTCTGCAAATGTCATGCGATAAAACAGGCCAAACCATGAAAAGCTAAAAGCGTCCAAGAAGTCTTTCTGTGGAACACCTCGTTCTTTCCAGTGGTAAAGTGGTTTAATAATGTAGTAGTAGGTTAGAGTTGCTAAGAGCACTGCTCCAAGAATCCAAAACATATTGAATTTTTTTCTAAAAGAAAAATATAAACAACATTCAAATAATAATCATGTATATAATACAAAAGCACACGTAATACTACGCATGCATGCTCATCATTATGGTATGCTTACATTAAAAATTGTTATGAAGCGGTGATGCCATGTATGATTGGTTGCATAATTAATAGAAGCAAATTCAGAAATTTCGGAACTGAAGAGGAAAATCAAAGCAAAGTTGCAGGATGTCTGAATGAAACAATATGGAAATAAAGAAAAAGAAATGCAATTAGTAGCAGCAAAAATGAACACCTTGAAAACAATTTTTGCTAAGATTCTAAGGGATAAAGATATTAGTATTAGGGGATGCAAAGTGGAGAGCATCAAAGACTGGGTAAAAAATAAATGAGCAGAATTCAACAATATTATATGAAAACAGAATAAAAATAATATGAACTACCATATTTCAATCACATTTTGTTCTTGAAACGATACGTTTAATTAATAATACTGTAATAATTATTTATGAATATAATTATTAATTAATTTTAATAATATTTGAAGGTAGAGTTTATTAGGTTTGTTCGTAGAACGATCAGCAACCGTTGCCAACCATCAGACGCACGCGCAGTCTACAGTTAGCGTTCGTAGAAGCACTTCTGACGGTTGGTAATTTTAAGTTTGCTGTTCGCAGTAACAAAATGATTAATCAGAATTCGGTTTCCAACGGTTGTTAAAATCCCCAACGATTGTGCGGACTAAAAATCAGCGACATGCGCAGAGGTGTTGTTGTATAAATCTATTTTATAACCACAAAACAAACGTTGGGTTGTTATAACAACTATATAGGGATAACTAAAAAATAAAATATACTAAGAAAACTATAATCAAACTAATAAAATCAAATAAACGACTAATAATATTAAACAATAAATGCAAAACAACTGAATAAAAAGATTTAAAAAACTAATTAGATCGAATTCTAAAGGCCGCATGACACTATGCATTTTCTTGTATCATTTCTTATATCGTTTCTGATATAACAAAAAAATTGATAGTGTCATACAAGCGTATAGTTTCTTATATCAGAAACGATACAATAACTGTGTCCGCTGCATCCCAGACAGCACAGGACATCCCTGGGACGTCCATTTTATGTCGTTTTAAGGTCCAAACGTCCCGGGACTTCTTTTGGACGTCCGAGGGACGTCCAAGGGATATTTCTAGTCGGACATACCAGGGACGTCCCATAAGGTCGTCCAAGGGACGTCCCATTAGGGATGTATTAGGGACGTTTTCTAGGTGTTAACTGTGTCATTTTTTTACCTAAGCATATTTTTTACAAAATATAATCTTCCTACTAAACTTTATTTTAAAAAGTTATATTTAGTTTTAAATACCATTAATTTATACGAAAACAGACAGAGGCTCCTTTTAGAGAAAAATCTTTTTTTGTTCTGTAGTGGAACTGAAATTTAAAAATTAGGAGATAAAAGAAGAATGTGGTTATGTTTTAACGACGCTTGTATTTATCTCGTTTATTTCTCGAATTATAATCATCGTATATTGTGGTTGTGGTTGTAATTAGAATTAGTTTATTGCTTTCGATACTAGTTTATAGTTTGGTAATTTATTATTATAGACATTAAGTAGGTATATAGGACTTTTATAGGTAATTTTTGTGGTTGTGGTGTGTTGCTACATTTGTAAAGTAAGTAGGAGTAATGTGCTTAAAAAATACTATAAATTTAAATACATATGTTAATATAAGTACACAATAAAAATCCCATTTATTTTTGCTTTTCATTTTATTAATTTTAAGTTCCCTTTAGGTCCTGAATACATCCTTATTTAGGTCCTGTATACATCCTCATTTAGGTCCTATACTAGTCCATGTGGACGTACAATAGATGTCCCCAATACATCCTTCTTAGATCCTATATAAGTCCGTATTAAGTTCTGTATATGTACTATGTACGTCCCCATGAACATCCCTGGGACGTCCAGGGGACGTACTTTTTGGTAACATTTAGGTCTTATTGGACGTCCCGGGGACGTCCAAATTATGTAAACGGATGTCCGTGGGATGTCCGGACATTTAATGAGGTACATCCTTTGGACGTCCATGGGACGTACTTGTGCTGTTTGGGATTTTCTTGGTCAAGAAATGCGCCAATTTGTGCGCAAAAACGTAAAGCTTCTGTCATATTGGGCTTGAGGAGAACTTTGATATACAATTAGACCAAGCAGACATCAGAGAAAAGTGCCCACCAACAGTAACCAAGATTAGAACATCAGTAGCCAAATTGAAAAATAATAAATCACAGGGATTGGATCAAATAGCATCGGAACTACTTAAAGTAGGAGGAGATGTTTTACTAAAAACAATACATAACCGCTCTAAAAATTAGTGATAAGTTTAAAGATTATTTTATATCTCCAAATAAGAGAGTAGAATTTCAAGAGCATGCCATTCAAACACGTAATTAAAAAAAAAACAAATAAATTATTACAACCAAATTATTATTTCTGTTTTCCATTACAGCCCGTTGAATATCTTCAAAAATTGTGGTTTCCAATTTAGTTTTAATATTGGGACATTTTATTTCTTTAATTTTTGCACTACAGTATTTAAAAAAATAATCAGTAGCATATGTCCTCAGTCCCCAGTAGCTTGGAGTCCTCACCTCAGGTACTGCAGTTCTATTTTTATAGGTGTCAACATTTCGACCAATCATGTGCCAAATCACATACAATTTCTGGTAAAATACCTTGCATAGTGTCATACCGGGCAAAAATGTACGTGCAAAAAACGATACAAGAAAACATAAATAACTTTCTATATCAGAAACGATATAAGAAATAATAAAAGAAAATGCATAGTGTCATACGGCCTTAAGAAATAAGAAAAGGAGATTTCGAGATTTGACAAACGACAATGACAAATGCAAAATATAAAATTTTAGGTGTTCGCAGAGCACAAAATCACAAACTAATTCCAAACAGTTTCCAACTGAACATGCGCACTGTATTTCAAATCACAAACCGTTTGTAATCGCTACTACGAACAAACCTATTGTAAAATAATTTATCTTTACGCTGTTTAAGATTTAAAGCCTGGCGCCATCTAGGAAAGAAACTCTAAACTACTGAAATCTGACATTTCATTCATATTTTGTATTGTCTATTCGCTTAGCTAGGGCATATTTTGACAGACTCATTGTAGGAAACCTACAACACAACAATTCCTACTTCTCAGTATAAATAGCTCAAGTATACTACTATTGCAGACCTCTTTCTTTAAAAAAAAAAAGAAGAATTATTCTAAATAGTGGAAGTGTATACTAAACCCATTAAATTTTCCCTGTATATTTAAAATATAATATTTGAATTGTTACAATTTAAAATATTGTAGTAAATATGTGTATTATTCGCGTTGTTTATTTAATTTAATATTGTTTTATTATCTTTGTTTAATTCTTTTGTTAGTTCTATTCAGTTAATTAGTTAGTTATATTTTAAATTTTATTATTATGGATAATCAGTTTTCCATTTGTTCCATCAGCTAATGCGTTGGCAAGTTTTTCTTAATAAATATGATAAAATGTTTTTTAAAAAGTTTTTTTTAAAGTTAATATTTTTAGATTAGTAAGGATTGTTCCTAGATTACGAGGTAATAAAACTGCACAAAGGTTTGTTCAAAAAACCTACCATTTTTTTTTACCGAATGAAAACCCTGTTGAGGTAAGTTGATCATTAAAATGTATTTATCGAATTATGTAAATGTTGTAAATACATAAGGAACTTGCTGTGTCTTATTCTTATTTAACCTCACTTTGACTTTTTAATTTTGTAGAATTTATTCCCACTTTTTTATTTTGTACAATAAATAATTTTATTATTTGTTATTAATACATTATACGGTGTAAATAAATAAATATTGATTATCGGCAAATTTCTATTTTATTTACTTTTGTTTACATTAATATTGACTAAGATCACGTATGCTTGGTTGTATAGTATTTTCCAGCCACTTCGAGTCTGTCAAAAAGTTACTAACTTCGAAAAAAAAAATAATTACTAAAATTACTAGACAGTTCGGACTGGGAATAGCGAACCGGGTATACTTGCAACAATACGTTTATTAATTAATAATACGGTATTCCTTATACATTAATCTCAATATAATTTAATTTTAATATTTTTAAGGCAGAATTTAATACAAAATCATTCAAATAAATTTGACTTAACCCTGAACTACTATCGTGGGGTCAAATTTGACCCCAGGACTTGAAATTTCGTGCGCCACTGGTAGACAGTTTGGCGAACGACCTTGTTATTCTATGTATTCTCCCAATTAATTAAGTACGTAGTTTAGCATGCCGCTTAGTAGCAAACGATCAGTGGGATAGTGCACACGTGCTGCTGAGTTCCGGTCGGATTTGACCCCACCATAGTAGTTACGTTATTATTAGGTATTTAAGATAATACATTAAAATGGCTTTAAGAATTAGCGGAAGTACGGTGACAAGTGAAAATGTTTTTGACTTTCTCGAGTCTCTGGAGGAACCAACCGAAAATATTGACACTTATAGTGACTCTAATAACAGTGATACTGACACTGAAAGTGAACATTCGGTTCACGACACAGATTCAGAAATTGACGTAAGTGACTTATCAAGCGACGAATGTGAAACAGCATCTAATAATGAAACAAATTTTTACTATGGACGGAACATATATAAGTGGGCTAAAAATGCTCCGACCCCATCAAAAATTCGCGCACAGAACATTATTACACACCTTCCTGGTCTTCGTGGACCTGCCTTAGAAACAAAACCATCCAGTCCACTTGAATCCTGGTCACTTCTTATAACTCCTGACATGTTGGCCTCTATTCTAGAGTACACAAATGAAAAAATTACCGAGCTCAGTGTAAATTATGGGGATACATGTACATTTGTCGATCATCTAAACGAAGGTGAACTTAAAGCTTTTTTGGATCTTTTATACCTTTCAGGTGTACTAAAGTCTAATCCTGAGAATGTCGATTCATTATTTTCGACAAGTGTTTTAGGTAGGCCAATTTTTCGTGCTACAATGTAAAAAAAACGCTTCTTATTTCTTTTCACAGCAATAAGATTTGACAATCATGAAATAAGAGAGCAAAAGAAGGCCAATGGAGATCGACTTGCAGCAGTGTCCTATTTATTTAAATGTTTCGTATCTAACAGTACAGCAAACTACACCTGTTCCAAATATGTTACAGTGGACGAGATGTTGGTTGGGTTTAGAGGTAGATGCCCTTTCAGAATGTACATGAAAGCCAAACCAGTCAAGTACGGCATCAAGATCATGTGTTTATGTGACGCAAAAACACATTATTTGGTAAATGCTTTTGTGTATACGGGTAAAACAAATGATCCTAATGCCCAAAAGCTATCCATACCTACAAGATCAGTACTTGCTTTAGTGGAACCAATTGCCAATAGTAACCGAAATGTCACTGATGATAATTGGTTCACCTCAATAGAGCTAGTTGATGAACTAAAAAAACTTCGACTTACCTATGTAGGTACAATGCGTAAAAATAAGAGAGAAATTCCTCCACAATTTCAACCAAATAAAAATTACGAAGTTGATAAGTGTTTATTTGGTTTTACACGAGATAATACAATCGTATCATATGTCCCTAAAAAAAAATTAAAGTGTAATTATGTTGTCGTCTATGCATCACGACAAATCTGTTGACCAGGAAAGCAAAAAACCTGATATAATAGCTTTCTACAATTCGTCGAAAGGGGGCATTGATGCACTTGGTCAAAAATGTGCACTTTATCGTTCAGGTCGAAAATGCCAGCGATGGCCTTTAGTAATTTGGTATTCCATAATGGATATTGCTATAGTAAACAGTCACATTATTTTTCACGCAGCTAATCCTGGGGTTAGAAAAAATCGATCGGATTTTATTCAAGAGCTGGTAATCAGTCTTATGAATGAACATTTAGAAGTAAGATTTGCAATGCCAAATTTGTCAAGAGAATTACGCTCGATAATTTCCAAAGCATTAGAAAATAAAATTACTCATTAAGATCAGACCTAACCAGAAAGGCCAGTTGTAAGACGTAGATGCTACTTGTGTCCCAGAGGTAAGGATAACAAACATTCCACAATTTGCGCAGAATGTCATAGGACCATCTGCAAAAAACATTCACTTCAGAGAGTTACCTGTACTATGTACAAAGAATAGATAAACACTTACAATTTGTTCAAATATTTTTGTCGCAAGATTCTAACATTACGAAAAAAAAAAACATGACTGTTATTTTTTTATATGGTCATACTCTATTATGATTTTCTTTTGTATTAGGTTAAGATGTTACTATTATAAACTACTTTTTAGAAAATGAACCGTTAATTTCAATTTAAGATATATTTTTTTTGTTATAATAATGAGTTATGTTTTTGATCAAAATTTATTTTAAAAGTTCTATAATTTTTATTATATCATCTTAATTTTCTTGAACTAAAATTTAAGTTTACAAAAAATCTCTTTTTTATATACACATTCATTTGTCAAAAATACAAAAACAATAAAAAAATATATTTTAATATCTTGTTTAGAGGTTTTTAAAATTCGGGTCATCTATGACCCCACGATAGTGGTTATGTTAAATAAATAAATAAATAAATATGTAAACATGTTATATATATATATATATATATATATATATATATATATATATATTTATCAAATTATTCTCGACCGTAGTGTGTTAAATATTTGTAGTCTCAGCAATTGGTCTGTATGAAATAAAACTCTATTTGTTATTTTTCAATATTTCGTCACGATTTTGTGACTTCTTCAGGAGAAAACTGTAAATTTATTATAATTATTATATGTAAACAAAATGAATATTTCAATACTTACAACTTAAGATTAAAAATTTAAATTTTGATAACATATCCAATTTAAATAAATGACATTTTTTTGATTTTAATTTATTTGGGAGTTATGGTAACCGCAATATTTTATAGAGTGAATTCCCATTGTACAATTGTTAGCGAATAAGTTTTAATAAACAATTACATATTTAACTGTCATTTATAATACTGTCACAATATGTAATTGTTATGAAAATAGCAACTAAATAAAATTAAATAAAGGTAAATAGAAAGAAATAAAATTAAATCAAATTAAACAGTATTATGTAGAATTAAATGATTTTTAAGCGTTTTGTGGTGGGGATAGAATAGTTCTTCGGATCGTGACGTACATCATTGGAAACGAGAGGCGGTAGCGAATATATTGTGTTTGATCCGATTGGGGCGTGTGATACGTTAAATGAAACAGGTGGATATCACGAATCTATTAAGATTAAGAAAACAAACAAAGCTGACTACCAAAAGAGCATTATAGTTACCTACGTGATGTCATAGGGCACTATGCATAAAAATAATTTAACTAAAAGACACATTTTGATTTATTTCATTAAAGAAGGCCTCTGGTTCAGTAAAAAAAAAACAACTCTACGAATCCTAACATGCGACATAGAAAATGAAAGGGGAGGATAAAACGAATAAATTTACATACAAAAAGTAAACACGGCGACTACCAAAAGGGCACTACACAGTTTTTTCATTATAATTGAACGTATAGCAACATATGAGGTATCATGTGACACTATAGATCAAAATAGATTTACTTTAAGACAAATTTTGATTTATTGGCTTAAAAAAGGCCTCTGGCTGTATACAAAATAAACAACTAATCGAATTCTAACTTGCGACATAGCAAATGAAAGGGAAGGAAATAACGAATATATTCAGATAAACAAAAATAAACAAAGAGACTTAATATGATAATGGTACTAAACTCGTATAATCTGTATAAACTGTTTTTACTTACCGTATTAATAAAGTTCAAAATTTATCTAACAAATAACGTATATACGCCACTATTGTTGAAATGTTAAAATTGTTATCTTGCTTTATCCAGATCAAATCAATAATAATTAAGATAACATATCAATTGCACTAAACACGCAATAATACAGTGGTTACAGCTATAAAAGAATTCTAGGTATATAGATAATATGCAATACAATAAAATCTTATACAAAATAATACTCTTGAGAAAGATAAATATTAAATATAATAACAAATATAATTGACCAGTGTCGAAGCCTTTAAAAAAGGTAGAAAGTAAAAAAAAAAAATATAGTAGAATGAAACCTATTGCAAAAGGAAGAGAATATGCTAAAAATGGATGAAAAAATAAATTCCACTCTATCTGAGGTCGGGAAGTGAGAGGGGGTGAGTTTTTAAGGGTAAAAATCGGTTTATAGCGATTTACGTCAAAACAACAAGTGCTATGAAAAAAAGCTACATGGTAAAGTTGTAGGTAACAAAAAGATCTACAACTTTTGTATTTACACTTTTTTCACATAACCTCAAAATTTTTGTGGAAAATTTAAAAAATTAAGTTTTTGGTTTTTTATTTTTATCTTTTACAAAAAAAAAAAATTTTTATGAAATTTGGTGAAAACTTAGTATGTACCAAACACTGTAATTTTTTGGAATTAAAAAATTTATTTTTTTACCTGATATTGATTTAATATCGAAAAAGGGCCCTAATTTTCAATCGAAAATTCACGCGTCAAAATATCAGCTTTTTTAAAAAAGTCGGTGGGCTTTTTGTTCGTTGAAATCTCTACTTTCCGATAGTGTAACAAAAATATACATTACTATGGGAAATGTTCTCAAAAAACGTAAAAAACGAAGAAAACTCGAATCGAATTTTTTTTTTTTTTTCATCAATATGTACAATTTTGAGACATTTATTAAAATTAACACTGTAATTACTCATGTTGCGTAAGATTTTATGGTACATTGTCAAATAAAAAAATTATAAATTGAAATATTCTACTATAATTAACAAACAATTAAGTTAATAATGTATATATTTGATAAGACACCTATAATATAAGACAGTTGTAGAATTTTCTTTTAATTAAATGCGTACATATTTATTTATTGCTATTTGAAGATAATTTATATACCTGAGTGACCTTCGGAAAATTCTAGTCCATCAAAAGGTATTTTGTAAAGAAATGGAGAAGGGACTACGGGGGTCAAACTTACTACTATACCTGCTATTTCGTAGCAGCTGTAAGAACCGTTAGTATAGCTATAGTATAGCTAGTATACGAGATAAAGAGCAGTGAACAACATAGTTATAAAAATACACAGGCTGTTAGTTTCAGAAAATTGTGACTAATTTGCTATAAATCTCCTACCACAGAAGGTGTAGCAGAACAACATTGTTACAGGGCATATTATCAGCTTCGAATATGGCTGGGCAACGAACTGACAGCAACAGATTGGGGCTGGAAACAACATCAATAAAACATTATGCATAAATTTACAGAAAAGGAATTGATCCCGGAAATACTGCTCCAAACTATTTCCTGCAGCTGTGAAACTGGATGTAACAATTTAAAATGTGGTTGCTGAAAACATGGTTTGAAATGCACAAATTTATGTTCAAGTTGTCACGGCTCAGAAAAATGCTCTAATGTGGAGGAAAAAGCCTACGAAGAAATTAATGATAATTATTTTGATGAAATTATACATGTGGAAGTAACGCAGACAGGAAACAATATTGGAGATGAAGACTTCGATGGTCTTGAAGATTTCGAAGATCTTCTAGAATCAGAAGGTGACGAAGGAATGCCATCAAAGAGGCAAAAATTTATGCCCTAAAAATATTATGATAAATATATACATAATAAATATATATATTGTAAGATTGCCCATGACAAAAATGTAATTCAACATTAATAAACCAGCTTTTTAATTGTAAAAAAATCGAATAGCAGTCACATTTTTTTGATAAAATTCCTTTTAAATCTTATTTTGAATATTTTTAACCGCTATTTTCACATGTCTTTTTGCAATCTTAATGTTTTGTGGATTTATAATTTTTTTGTTTATCAATGTATCATGAAATCGTAAGCTAATAACTAATAACAGTATTCATTATAAGAAATATCTCAAAATTATACATAATGATGAAAAACATTTTTTTCGATTTGAGTTTTTTTTGTTTTTTTTGCGTTTTTTGAAAATATTTGCCATAGTAATGTATATTTTGATACACTATCAGAAAGTATAGATTTTAACAAAAAAAAATCCCACCTCCTTTTTTAAAATAGCTGATATTTTGACGAGTGAATTTTCGATCGAAAATAAGGGTGCTTTTTCGATATTAAATCAATATCAGGTAAAAAAATTAATTTTTCAATTCCAAAAAATTAGTGTTTGGTACATACTAAGACAAGTTTTCACAAAATTTCGTAAAAAATTTTTTTTGTAACAGATAAAAATAACCAAACAATTTAAGTTTTTTGAATTTTCCACAAAAATTTTGAGGTTATGTGAAAAAAGTGTAAATATTAAAGTTGTAGATCTTTTTGTTGGCTACAATTTTGCCATTTAACTTTTTTCCATATCACTTGTAGTTTCGCCGAAAATCGCGATAAACCGATTTTTACCCTTAAAAACTCACCCCCTCCCACTTCCCGACCTCGGAAGGAGTGGAATTTATTTTTTCTTCCATTTTTAGCATTTTCTCTTCCTTTTCCAATAGGTTTCATTCTACTATAATTTTTTTTTGGTTCAAAAATTATCGACCCTGGTATATAATATTGAATTTGATTTACTAAAACTGAGTTTGATGCACCATTTGAAAAATGTAAAAATAAAATAAAAAAGAATGAATATTTTAAAGCTATATATTATAAATAAAGTAATAGATAAAAAAGTAATAAGTGTTAATAATTATTCAAAATCTGCTTTACAATAATATAAACGTTAATTTCAATTTACAAATTGGGTGTGTAGCGGCCTCGATCCTACCATGTTATTTTAGAGAATCGTGAATCGCTAATAATAACCTACCTGATTTATGCAATATTCTTAGATTTGGAAAATTCTTGTCCTATTTCTTCCTCAATGGCAGTATTAAAAAAACTATTTCCAATTCCAATCAAATCGCGTCCACTGCTTACAATATAATAATTATCAATTGCACAATACATTAAATTATTTCTCACGCCCATGAGAAAAAACTGTTATTTTTGGAACCTACAGTGCAAACTACGTTCGGTTCGGTATGTTCTTAATATCAATAAACCAGTTCTGGAAGGCCGGCGCTTAATCATAGTGGTCAGGATGTTCAATGTTCAATTGAAAACATCAGATCATGAGCGGCGCTTCAGCGGTATGGCGACAACGAGTTTATGGGTTAAATAGAATATATAGTCCGTCTAGAAAGTATCCGAAAAAAAAAGCAGAATTATAATTTTACGGTATTTATTTTTATCACTTGAAATATAAAATTTCAACAAATAATCCATCTCATTTACTTATACAACCTCCATTTAAATCTTAACACTTAATTAAACGTTCAGGTACACTCGAAACTAGGTCAAGGCCATAATTTTCGGTAATGGTGCTCCAGGCATGTCAAACTGACCGAATTAAACCTTTTTTATCTCGTGCCGCTGCTCGTTCCACTTTAATCTTTATCAGTCCCCATATGTTTTCAATGGTTCTAATATCTGGAGATACTGCTGGCCACGGAATTGTTGCCAATTCGTGTTCTTGCATCATAGCTTGAGTATAAGCAGAAGTATGACATCTTGCATTATCTTGCTGAAAACGCCACCCCTCTGGATATCAAACATGAGCCGTTTCAAGAAGAAAACCATTTAGGATGTCACAATATTTCGCACTATCAACAGTACCATTAACTATACAGGGAGATATTGCTCCCCAAACCATTATTTTAATGGGAAATTTGGAAATTTGAACGGTAACATTTTCTCTTGATAGGATTTTTAGATGATTTTCACCAAACTGGAAATAACTTTCATTAGATATAAAGACATTATTAAAATTATCTTCTCGAAAACGTTGACAAACATCTATTATTCGTTGCCTTTGCAGAGGTGTCATTGTAGGGATTTTTTTGTATTCCTTGATGTATAGCCTTGCTTTTTCAGTAACATGCGGACAGTTTCTGGGCACACTTTTATTCTTCGTTGATTTCCAAATCTGTTCGCTAATTTTCGAAACCCTAGGCGCGGTTTTGTCTTCCTAAAACCACTAAATCATTTAAATTGTTTCCGCAAATCTTACGCGGTCTCCCGAAACTGGTCTATATCTTATATCTCTGCCATTTTTTATCCTCTTTATTGTCTCATACACTGCACTTTTTCCGAGTTCAGTCAATTGCACTATTTTTTTAACGTTTCGTACACCTTTTCTATACAAATATTCCACCACTTTTCTTTTTTCTACCATCGACATTATTTCACAAATCTGCCACGATATTCTTCTTCCTGGTCCTCTCTTTCCATAGACCTTTTCCTGTAGTATAAGTTGCAGCAGGTTATATCTATGGTCGTTTCGCATTATATGTCCAAGATATTCTAGCTTGCGCTGTTTCACTGTGGATATAATTTCACATGTCATATCCATCCCACGTAGAACCTCAATGTTTGTTACTCGGTCCACCCAGGAGATCCTCAGTATCCGTCTATAACACCACATCTCAAACGATTCGAGTTTTCCCATTGATGCCTCGGTTAGTGTCCATGATTCAACCCCATAGAGCAGTACTGTAAACACGTAGCATCTCAATAAACGAATTTTTGGGTTTAAGAGTAGGTCGTGGCTCTTTAATATTTTTCTGACTCATTCTGACAAACGCTGACCTGGCATTTTCAATTCTCTGTTTTATCTCAACTGAGTGGTCCCATTGGTCATTTGTGGTGGTTTCTAAATAGTAGTAACGGGGCACTTAAAGTATTTGTTGCTGATCTACTAGTAATTGTCTGGGTGGAATATGCTTCTTACTGATGACCATGTACTTGGTTTTCTTGATGTTAAAATTAAGCCCGTACTCCTGACTGATATTCCCCAACTGCGTTACTAGTGTTTGTAAACCTTCTAACTGTCTGCAAAGAGGATGGTGTCGTCTGCATATCTAATGTTATTCAGGCGCTCACCATTTATGAGAATAACCTCTTCGATATGCTCTAAGGTCTGGCTCATGACGTGTTCCGAATAGACATTAAATAATAGGGGAGAGACTATCGTATTCATCTCTTCATTGCAACTTCCTCTGTTAGTTGGTCTTTCACCCGAATGGTTGCTGATTGGTTGTAGTATATGTTCTTGATTACTCGAAGGTCTTTGTTATCCAGACCAGTTGCCTTTAGTATATCCATGAGTTTATCGTGCTTGATTCTGTCGAAAACTTTCTGGTAGTCGTTACATACATAAATATCGCCGTTGACGTCTCTGCACCTTTGGAATAATACCTGAACTGCGAACAAGGCTTCTCTTGTACCTAACGTATTCCAGAATCCAATCTGCGGTCGTGAAATCTGTGACTCGCATTTCTGATAAAATCTCCTGTGTATTATCTTTAAAAAGGTCTTAAGAATATGGCTCATTAGACTGATAATACGATGCTCTTCGCATTTTTTTGTATAAGGTTTTTTAGGTGTAGCAATAAATGTAGATTTTAACCAGCTCTCTGGGATTTTCCCGGAGTCATAGATTTTATTGAACGTTGTTGAGATCATCAGGTTTTTTGCTATATTTGTATGTTTTATGCTGCATGTTTCTCACCAATTGAGAAAAATTAACATAGAAATCACCGTTAACGTAGAGTCGATAGATATACATAAAAATATCTAGGAATACTGATGGAAATAGAAAGGAAAAGTCAAGATAAAATGAAAAAGGAAATCATACAATCAAAATAATTTTTAAAATCAATATATTTTATTAACTTTCTTTAGACCTTTCATCGCGCTTTACACGTGATTTTATTTATTACTCGAAAATGGTAAAACTTTTGTTACTTTTAGAATGGTTTCACTAGTATCTATTTTTATAGCTTTTTATTTAATTCTTTTTAATCCTAAAGTACACCCATTCTCAATTAACAACACAGCTGGAGTTTTCACCAACCTTACCGGTATACATGTTTTCTCCACAGGCACAATCTCAAATTTCAGAAGCATATTATAAAAAAGAATTTTGGTTTCTAAAAGAGCAAGTCTCGATGCAATACAGTTCCTCGGCCCAGCACCAAACGGTATGTAACTGCAAGGAAGTATTTTATCTTTATTTTGTTCGCTGAACCGTTCTGGATCAAAACGATCTGGGTTTGGGTAATATTTTGGATCTCTGTGTATGGCGAAAATTGGCAACAATAAGACTGTTCCTTCGTCGAGATGTACAGTCGATTCTTCTGGGGTTGTAGGTTGAATGGTGTAAGGTTTGGAGCACACTCGTTCTCCAAAAACTTGGGATGGCCACTTTCGAAGGACTTCTGTAAAAAGAAACAAAATATTTTTTTTCAAAACCCAAATACCATATCTAAATCATTACTCTTGACTGCTATTTTCAAAAAGTGATTGATACATTACCTGAGATAACCATATCCAAGTACTTCATCTGTACGAGACTTTCATATGTCAATATTCCATTAGTTTTTTTATGGGTTTCCATAATTTCGGCTCTCAGTTTATCCTGGATGTCCGTGTTTACAGCCAATTCATAGGCAGTAAAGCAAATCAATGTAGATACTGATTCGAATCCCGCAAAGAAGAAAAGGAAGGCTTGAGCAGTGATGTCTTCATTTGATAAGTCGGTAAGTCGTTTTGCAGTTTCTATAAAATATTGTAATGTGCACTTATCTTAAAATTATCTAAGCAGTTATTATACTCCCAGTAATATAATTGTACTCCCAATAAATCCATAAATAAGGTCATAAGTACAATTACAGTCATCAGACCAATAGTGATACACGCAGCAGAAACAAGGCCTGACACAAAGAGGATAAAAAGGATGTTAGAAACAGCAGAGATAAAAACACTTTAAAAAATTGATGGTAAGACACTATGGGACAGAGCTAGAAGTACAGATATATGACGTAGATGCAAGGTGGAGAACATCAAGAACTGAGTAAAAAATATAGTAGTAGAATGGAACGATCATATAAGCCGAACGATAACAAATAGAGTAGTAAAGACCGCAAGAGACAGTTCCCCAATAGAAAGACGATCAGTAGGAAGACCACGAAAACGATGAAACCACAACTTACTGGGGGCATATTGAAAAACAAACAGAGTCATGTCTATATAAAAAGAATAAGAAGAAGAAGTACAATTGCTACACTTACTTATTTCCACTTCTTTAACACTGGCAAAACCAGGATCACCTCCATGGTCCCCTTCTTCTATTTTAGCTCCTTTCCTTGTTTGCATTAAGAGGTGGATCATGTCAGGTCTTACAATACCATTTGCTTCTCTTGATTTAATACTATCGTCTACCAAGTTGTAGAAAAAAGCACTCTCTTCCTCATCGGTAAATTTGATGTTTAATAACTAACAAGATGAATAAACGATTGTTCAAAAAATTATACTTAAGCCTTAACTGCTGACGTGTCACAGTTGTCACGCAACTGGTGACGTGCCGTTAAATTGACACCGCCATCAAATTAATATAAAGAAATTACAAATGTTTTTATTTTTTAATTACTAACGCTTAAGTATACCTCGTAAAGTGTCATTCTCTTAAAAAAATTGTTGCAACTGATTTAAGTAATTATTTAGATAAGCTAGAGTATTATAGATACAACAAAAAAACCAAGATTCACTAATTAAACGTTTTCCTAAAATTTTCTCAAAAAACAATACATTTCATTACAAAAAATTCAACAGAATACTTCATTTACCATGCTTATTAACAAAATAAGCATACAATACTTGGCGTAGACTGTAAAAAGTATTACACTTTTTTTTAACAGTCCAAACAATTTGGTCTCTTTCATTCAACACACTCATAAGCAGTTCTTTCTTTTTAGTCTTGGGGGACAGATAAGGCAGGTTTCTATTTTACAACTTCTCGTTCACTGTTTCGACAACAGGAACTGGAACCTGAAGTATCCTACTAATATTCATTCGAATTTCTCTGGGAATTCGTCTGTTGGCTAGTCTTCTGGTAAGCAGTGGTGTTACTAAATCATGTGCTAAACTTTTGATAAATTTGAATCGAGTTATTTTCTCTTCAAAATTTGCCGAACAATATATAATATATGCTTTTGTAGAAGCTATATCGACAACTCTGTAAAATATTGACGTTGGCCATCTACGTGTACGACTGCTCGAATATTTGCTGCATTTTTCGTCCAGAGCATCTACTCCACCCTTTGTCGCGTTATAAAATGTAATAATTTCAGGCTTTCTAGAATCACCGTCAATACTTTCACTGTGGTGCATCGATCAAACAAGAATAACCGCCTTGTTCCGCTTTGGCACATAAGAAAGAAGCGTTAGTTCTTTAGTAAACCCATAAAGAGATTCGTCAACTTTTTTGTAAACCATTGGTAGGAACGCCAGCGGAATTTTCTTGTTATTTTTTTTTCAACGTACCTACGTATGTCAAGCCTTTCATCTTTAGGATATCTACTAGTTCTATAGAGGAAAAACAGTTATCGGCGGTAATGTTCCTGTTTGTCTTATAAATAGGCTTGCATAATCGGAGAACAGATTGAGCTGGAACATTTAGTTTTTTTTTCATGATCATCCAGGCCTACTCCACCGGTATTTTTTCCTCCTTCTGTATAAACATGTACAAAACATCAGAAATAGCATGGATCAGTCTTGTTTTTTTCATCGCGTGTAAAAGGATTGTCAAATCTCAGGACATTGAGGAACGGAAGATGTTTCGGCCAGTTTCGTCTACAGCAAAGAATGAATCGATATCTTGGTGATTCTATTTAAATATTGATGAATATAACAGCAATCCTAACAAAGCTCTAAACTCAGCTGTGTCTACATCAGCTAATTTTGACCTTTATCATTTGCATACTTGATTTTTAGAGTAGATAATTTCTGATTGGTCCACACTAGTATTATAGTAACTATATTTTCAGATAATAACCTTTCAAATATGTACTTACGATTAATTTCGGGTAAACGAA